TCGCCGGCCTCATGACGGGGTCCAGCGGTCACATTGGCAGGACGTTCAAGCCCATTCACAATGCAAACATAAACATAAGCATGGCGTTAAAAAAAGTTAAGGACTACATCCATAAGCGGATTCATTCATAATGCGTTCGCATAAGCATAACGCGTAAGACTTTGCTAAGCATATCTGTTAACTTAAAAGCTCGCAACTGTAGTACACTAGATTTTGGACCGAAAGGCTTTTGCAGAATTGTTTGGTTATTGAATATCATAAGAACAATTAACAACAGCATTCCGCTGGCGTATGTTCAAGTGGGCGAGAAACATTTCTTGGCACATGTATTTGAATGATTTTGTAAGGGCATTATTCACTATTTTTATTTTTTACTTTATTAGCGTTTCGAAATTGTTTCGAACCTACACTTTGGTTACTAAATAGCTCTGGGTTTGTTTACATGGTGTTATTCAAAGTTGAATTTTAAGAATACACAAATTGTTTTTCCGACCTTCGCATAAGTCACAAAAAAACTTTTTAGGACATTTCTTGTAAAACATGATATACTCCATCATTGGAAGTATCCCTGCGTGGCACAAGATCCTCACATTTTCACAGCGAATCCAAATCAACATTTATAAATTCCGTACCTAACCTCAAAAGGGCCCGGTGCAATGGACTGTACTGACGAGCGCCTTGGTGCAGGTTAGGGCACCCCAAGTGCGCACAAAGAATGCGCACTGATTCCGGGTCATTGTGCGAATGGAACATGCGCATCTTTGCCTCAGTGCGCTCTAGCGGCCCAATAGGAAACGAAAGCTGCCCTGACTGCACACTAGCGATAGCATGCTATTCCTGAATCAGGAATCCTGATGCTCCCCTTAGAGGATATGGAAAGCAGTTGGATGACTGCCTGCGAATTATCTGAGGTGACGTGATGATGAGAGGTGATCGTGGCATTTTGGAACCAACATTCGCCTGTATGACTGAGAGAAACCACGAAAACCTTATCAGGATGGTTGGCCTGGGAATCGAACCCGGGCCTCCCGACCGCGAATTTTACTCGTTACATCCAGAGCCATTTCGCCGTGTAGAAAAAAAAGTGCAGAACGTTACAAAACACGATATTACTAAGTAATTTAATATCACAGAATTTGAATTTTGGCTTTTTGGCATTTTTTTTATTTCAGCATTTAATGAACAAAATAGAAATGGTAAATATATTTTAGGAGAGTCAACCGTAATGAATGTCTACTGCCTGCTCTTTTAAAAATAAATACGCTCAGTATTAACATACAGCGATGTGCGCTCTATGTAAGGTGGGAAAATCCACTTCTGAAGGTGGATTACAACTGATTTTAGAATTATGCTCATAAAAATGTTGGTGATCTCTGAGCAACATTGTCTCGGCCCTCTCAGATAACTTTGTAATGTCATCTCAGCAGGTTTTGAAAAGAGTGTGTGTCTCATCGTCATTGGTATTCCATTCTTTATCAATTCGCTTGGAATTTCTCCTGGATCCGGAACCTTTCCACCTATAATTTCTTTGATACATTTCTTAACCCTCTTCGATTACTGTAATTGACATTGTCATTAAAGAAATAATTTTTTTATTGCTATTGGTGCTTAGCCTGATAAACACACTTGTGTTTGTGTTGATTGGCAATAAGATTTGATTGTTCAAAGCAAAAAATATTCTTTTAGTGAATGCTGATGTTGCAAATGTCATTATTAATGGTGCTAATTGAAGATGATTTAACTGATTGCGATATATGAAGATTTCATGAATTGGTTTAATTGCAAAATATAAAATTTCTGTGGATGGTTGAACTTAACATATTTTTCAAGTGGACTTTTTCAAAGCGATTGCTCTGTGAATTTTTTTAGTGCCTCATTAGTAAAATTCTATTATATTTTGAAAATTTCTGAGAATCTAAGTGGAGATCTACTTTGGAAAGTTCTAAGAAATCTAAGGAATGCGTAAAGTGAAGTTTTACATAATCTCAAATTCTCCCATTAATTTCAATGTGCACTCTATCCAATACTCTGTAACATATTTGCCTATTTTTTAATTCATCAATTTCTCTTTGCTTTACTGGTGGTTCAACAATACTACCTAACTGAAGAATACTCAATTTTTCAGTTGCTCCATATAATTACAAGAAAATTCTTTACATATAAACTTAGAGATAATCTTCTGTAATTTGAACATTTCTTGTGAACAACACGCTACACCAAGAGTTTAGTTTTGAAGAACATTATACAACACCACTGTGAAAGCAAACAATTTTGCAAAAATTATATTGTAATGCTGCCTAAGGAAGTACAAACATCTTTCAACTTGTAAAACTGTATAATCATCCCAGCTTTCTTCTCAGTCATCACTTGCAAGTCCTTCAAAGAAAGAAAGAGATGATGTTTGTTCCTCCCTGCACCTGTAAGTCTAGATGTGAAATTCCACTTTTTTACCACACCTCAGAGATTATATTTTTCTTAAAGAATTTTAGATTTTTAAGATCTTTTAGGTGGTACTGACAAAAATGCCATTAAATCTGATTGTGTTTGGAAAAAATCATGGCATTGAGGAATCGAAGAAGTAGTTTGTTTTTTTAATTAAATTCAGAACATGACTATAATGATGAATGAAAAGAACAGTCCATTAGCCAGCAATTTCAGTCCATTAACATTTCCTGCCATAGCTAAAGCATTATTACATGTCTGCACAATTAATTTGCAGCTTTTAACGTTTCCTGCAATTTTATTTTGTATGTTCTGAAACAAATCGGACACAAACCAGTTTTCCCAAACTGTTATTAGTGAACTATAAATCTCTCTTGAACATCATTATTGTCAGCATCTCTTTAAACAGTGGATAATTGACTCTGATTGGAACTATCTGTTGTTGCTTCAATGACAATTTCTAGCCGACTTGATATTTTCTAATAAAGAATTCTTCTTGTATATCAAATTTAAAATATATTTTATTTGTTTATATATATATATATATATATATAATAATATAATATATATATATATATATATATAAATATATATATAACATAAATTATTGCTGTATTGTTGATTAGTAGAAGAAATTAAAAAAGCTACATTTTTGAATATATATAACTTCTAAGGGGGCAGGACTGAAGTCCTCATTGGGTGTACCAGTGTTAAGAACTATTATAGTTTTATGTTAACTGAAAATGTGTGTTTGCAAGTTTGAATTTATTAAACATTTAAATACATTTTAAAAAAGGAGGAACAAATATTTAAAAGGAAATAGAATTTGAATTATTTATATTAATATGAAGAGTACATTTATTTGGGTTTGAACATGCATTTAACATACATACAAAGTGCAAATGTAAATATCACCAGAACAAAAACATCAACAAAAATGTTACAAAAACATCAACAAAAACAGTTCTTTGTTCTGACTTCATGGCTGTCCGGGTGATGCAGTGTTGTCGGCTGAGAGACCAATGTTTCGCCTGTCATATCCCAGGCTTTTTCAGAGTAGTGAAGCAGGCTTCCTCAGGGTAGAGATGCAGGCATCCTCTCAGCCAACAATGCAGCGTCACCCGGACCTCATCTTATATTCGGTTAAATCATTTTATTTATTAACTTTTTTACAACAATTCATTTGAAATGTAAGTTTTCATGTTTCATATGCCTTTTACACACTTAATTTAGCTAGAATAAATGCCCTTTTTATGCCTATTTTAGGTAAAATAAATGTTTGAACTTCTAGTCTCTATTTATGGTTTTATGACTTTTAACAATAGAAATAACTGGATTATACTTCTAAACTTAATTTAGTAGATTTTCATATGTTGTTGTTTGTTTTTTTTGCCTATTTTAGCTTCTGAAGCCTATTTTTAGTACTTTACCCTTATTTTGGCATTTTTATTTCATTTTCATCATGATTTTATTTCTGTTTTTTTCTACTGACACTGATCTTGATTAAGCTGGTAACTTGCAATTCTAACAACACGAAGACACTGTCAGGTTTTGTCCTTCTCTGGAACAAGAGGCTCTAGGGCCAGGTACTGATAAAAATCTAAATGAGAAAGGAAGATGACACCATGCTAGATTTTTGATTTCCTTCATTGATACCAACAGGTTTTGTTCATTACAAGTAATTCTATTCTATGGCCTCTGATCCCTTTGGAGAACAGAGATCTCTGTGTATGTATTAAGATGCAACCCTTCTCAGTGCTGATACTGACACAAGTGCAAAGACTGAAAACTATTATATTGTTTTCTCTTACGCCATTCGAAGATTCCAAAGGAAATCTACAATTGCGTTTCATGGAGATAGCATTGCGAGTGAAACAAATGTGTAGTCCTCAAACCTGATGGACATGTGCAATGAATATTGCAAAGAAAAGAACATTTCCTTCCATGAAAGTGCTGAGTTAAATTTTAAAATTAGAATAAAATGTTGAATAATTTTAACTATTAATTTGTTACAATAAATTATTTTAAATAATGATTTTTCATTGTTTACATACCATTTTGCATCCCTAATTTATTCAAAATAAATGTCTGATAGCATGTCTATTTTAGTAAAAATGATTGCATTTTGCCTACCTATTTTAGGTAAAATATATTCCAGAACATCAAAGCTCTAATTGTAAGTAATGCTATAATCGTTATTTTGAGAGCACTTCTTTTGAAGATTTATTTTCTTTCATAAATGCAATAGGCATAGTATCACTAACTTAATTGTAATATTGGATCTACCTATGGATTGTGTAATGAAATTGTCAAGCTAGAAATTGTTTATAATAATAATAGTTTGTAAATCATAAAAAATATTACAATTACAAAAATATTTTACAAGAAAAAAATAAATGATTCAAATATATATTTTTTTCTTTGTTAAAATGTATTTCATTTTCTTTCTTCTATCTTGACCAAAGGTAGTACTCATGAATAGCATCTCTTCAAGTCTTCATTGTTCTTGTTATAAAAAAGATCAAAAAATTATAGGACAAACAAGGTTTTTTATATTTCTTCTCATTCAATTACACATAATTTACATACAAAATAATTGCGTATTATACAATGTTGTACAATGATAAATTATTTACAGTAATAAACTAGACAATACTGATTTGCTGCCGTCACTTGTACATTTTTGTACAAAATTAGTTCTTATAATAAATACTCAGATTCACATTATGAAGTGACATTATAACACAATATAATAAATGAATATAGGCCTACAAGTGAGATTTTGTATTTTTTTTTGGTCACTCAAAGTTTTTAAATAAAAAATTCAGAATTCAAGGAAATACAGAATATCCTTCCAAACTGCGGCAGTATTTGTGGACTGTGAGAATGCAGTAGACATACAAAACTGAAAAAGAGGAAAAAAATATTGAATTAATCTGTATGTGGTAAAATTGGGATCAGATCCCACCCTTTTATTTAAACCTCTGCGTTAGCTTTTCCCATATTTCTTTTTATGTACGGACCTTTTTGGACATAACATCAGTGTAGGGAAGTGTGCTGTAAGTACTCAAGACATAATTCACAGTGTAGTACAATACAGTACAGAAAGAACCATATCACAATGATATTGTAAAGTATATTATACTGCCTGCAATGTCAAATTCAATTTATCCACTTTGATTTTCTAAAGTCAAACTTTATAAAAATTATATCATTTCCCAACAAGAGTTATTAGAAAACAATTTATTCTTTAAACTGTTGCTTGTATAGAGAAAAGTGAGCATGTAAGAATGGCACAGATTAAGTTTATAAAGGTTTTTGAAATCTCAAATGTTTGCAAATTTAAATGAACTAAAAGGCTTCACCACAAAAGCAAAGCTTGGACCCTGTAGTGCTACTCAAGTGGTATTTTCGTACAAAATATTCTATAGAATGCTAGTACATTAAAAGTTAGGTGAAAAGAAATATCTGAGAGTGATAGTAAATGAAAGTAAAAAAATATAAACTGTAGAAAATTATAATAAACAATGATACAACAGTTAATCTATTTATTTAGATGTTTCAGTGTTATAAATTATGAGAGGAACACTTTTTAGTTGTTTCCTAAAAACTACCTTTAAAGACTAAGAAAGTTTCTCCAACCTATGATTTACTTCGAATAATGGCTGAACAAGTCCACTCTAAGCAACACAATTGTAAGGGTGTCAACAATCAAAAATTTGTAAAAATGTGTATGAATTGAATTTTTTTATTTAAATATTAATTACATGTGTTAATTTTAACAGAAATGTTATTAATTTCGATTTTGAACTGTAATTATTTTATGCTTAGTATTCTATTACTTTCTCACCTCTCATTTTAAATTATTTTCATGGTAAAAGATGTTATTTCTTCCATTGATACAAACTGATTTTTACTTATAAAACGAGTTAGGCCCTACATTGTTGAACAAATTCTAAAAGGTTTAATTTTATAGGGTAAAAAATATTTTTTCTGATTTATTAATAATGAAGTCTTAGTATAAACCTTACTTTTGAGAAGCTTTCATAACACTTCACATACTCTACCATTCCTCACAACCAGCGTGTGGAACACTCCTTTGTTGCCCTTCTTTATTCCATCAAATATGCATGTTCACAGGTTCATTTTATAACAATATCTTTAAGTTTTCTGGGTTTCTGAATATAAAAATGATTAAATTGGTTGTTGTATCTTGTTTTCAAGATAAGAGTTAATATTCATGAGTTCGAGATAACATGTGCTGTTTTCTGGATCACTTTCCATCATCCATCAGAAATCAGTTAACGTGGCAACACTTTATTTTCTCTTGTACCTTTATTCCATCATCAAAATGTCTTGATCAAAGTGCTCACTGTGCTGATCATTCATGTCTCTCAAATAGGAATTGCATCTAGTAGTGAATGCAAAATGTGCTTTTTTAGTGACTCATTTTTCTCAGTCCAACAAATCTACTACAAGACCTTTGATGTTCTCAGCTTTGAAATTTTCCAGATAACAATTCAAAACATTTTTAAAGTTGATGTTGTTGTGAAGTAAAATAAAGTTTCATGTTGAAACTGAAACTAGAGAACTTTTGGCACAAGTAAATGTATGCAAAACTCTATATATCGAAGCATTTATATTTTTTGTAAAATCTAATTTTTAGCTTATAGTAGTGGAAGTAAATTTTGTTTTACTCTATCAAAGGTTCATGAGTTTACATTTGGAATTCCAAAGAATAATGATTGTCTTTCAGGAAAACTTTTCCTAGGAAATTGGATGTTTCTGATGCTGCAACCTCATTCATACGGAAATAAAAGTACTTAAGTAGTGCATTCTTATTGTGGTTTTAATAAAATGTCAGATACTCTTCACTCTCCACAAATTTGCCAGAGGTCCTTTTTATAAACTACTGTTAGAATTGTTTTCATACTTTATTTCTTTCTTATGACATTACATCGAAAGGGATGGCAACTAATTTTTGTTTTGTAGAAGCTCTCCTTTAAATCTAATTTTTGAAATGTCAATAAACATATGCCATCAGTAAGGGCAAATACCTAAATTAATGTCTTTGCAATATAAGATATTATTTTTAGTTTGAAAAAACTGCTCCAAAAAACTGCCCCAATATTTAAAGGAAAACCTGTAATTCAGGGAATACTTTATGACTTTTATGCAAAATCAACAGCTAAACTAGAAATTGTAAAGGAATAGTCAAATTCAGCACTTCCAATTTAGTCAAAATTAGCTTTCTTCATTTTGATGTTAGTTTGTATGTTTAACAGTGAGCTGGTACACATTGTGGTTTTAAAATATTGATGAACATTCAAGAAGACGCACAAAACCTTACGTATTAGTAAGTGAAAGATTTCTACAGTTTATATGTTTGGAATTATTCATGCGTTTATGAGCAATAATTTTATAAGGTCAATTAAAAATCTAACAATTCTGTTATGAAAAGAATCCATGGAGTATTTTAAAATTAAGAGTGAAGTTCATAAATTAAAATAGAATTGCAGAATTTTCACTGACAAATAGAAGAAGTAGATACTCAAAAAGGTAATACTTAATTATTCACTATGTGAAATATGGACAATGTAGGTGTAAGAACAATTTGAAGAAAATCCTTCATGTCTATCATACACACTTTTATACTTTCAAATTAATGTTTGGAAGGACATTTTACACGGCTAAGTTTTACTCCTAGATCTTAAAAGAAGGCTAAACAATATTTTCCTAGAAAATTTAAATCCTTTTAAATTATCAGGACAAATATTTTGCCTAAAGGCAGCTCATCTTAATTATCAAATGATGTTTTAACAAATACTGACCAAAACAGAACTATTATGAATTGTAATTTAAAAAAAATATAATATCCTTATTCAATTCTAATGCCTTATGGTTCATTTTTATAATTTTCTTTACACTAGGAAGTTAAGATTATTGTATCATTTGCAAGGATTAATCAATTAAGTAGATAAAGTCATTAGAATTCATCTCCTACTTATTTGTGAAATTCTATTGCAAATGCAAGGCATTTATAATCATTGTTATTTTGTTACTTTACAAATATGATGTGCAAATATATTTTTATTTTAATAAAGATGTTTCTAAATCATCATCATCATCGTATTAAAGTTTAGGTCCCTGCTCCTTGCCCTACACTAGTTAAGATATTTCCTCTTGGTCAGTAGTTAATTACCATCTTTGGAAGAGAATGTGGTTGCATTCTTCCTATATGTTCTTGTCATTTTGTCTGGTATTTCTGTATTTCAGTGACCACATTCTTTGTTTTCAGTGTTTTCTGTATTTCTTTGTTCCTTATTTTGTCTTTTCGAGATACTTGCTCACGGATACCTTATTTGAACTGTCTATATTCTCTGTTTGTTTCTCTTTGAGTGTCCATGTTTCACTACCATATTGTAGGGCTGGTTTTACCACTATGTTGTGGATTCCTTTTTTCCTTTAATTGTTTGTGTTTTGTTTCTGAATATTATTATTGTTAATACATTTCAAGTGAAATGGGAGGGGGTTACACCATCATTGCTCTGGGAGACATGACACCAACTTTAGCTACAACAATGACTAGGATTTCAAAGGGCTTCTATAACTTTCAGTGTGATAAAACGTACCATCTAAAATGATCATCAGAACAAATGGCACAGCACACCATGCAGATGCATGAGCTACCATTGCAAGAATAAATGCAGATATACCAACTACATTTTCCAAGAACACCAGCACAATATACAGGAAAATCCAGGCCATCACATATCTCTGTTGTTGCTGTTGACATACAATATAAATAACACATTTTAAAAATATTTCTGTTTCTTAAGAATATGAAATTAATACTATAAATTTCACAAAAATTGATAGAAAATGCAATCAATAGTGTGAAACAATAAAAAAAAGTTGAAGAAAAGCTTCATTGAATTTGAAAATACACATTTGAAATTATTGAAAAGTTCAGAAACTGAAATGAAGATGTCTTAATATGATAACAAGGGTGCATATCATCAGATTTGCACATGAAACTTAGATGATTTAACTCAAAGCAATATTCTCATGACATGAACCAATTAATTTACTATTGTCATCTTGATATGTGATCGAAATGTGTGTCTCATGGACTCCTAAAGTATTGTATTAGTCAGTTACTGTAATTTAGTCACATGCAAAATAATATTCATTCTGCTATAAACCTTTGAACTGCACCTTGTGTTAACCTTGAAACTGTACTCTGTATAATGTAATGATCTATTGAAACTAACAATATATATATTTTTTTCTACATTAAAATACTGAAATAATGATCAAAAGTTCATTAAAGGTCTTAAGCAACTTAATTTGTGAGGTTTCATCTATTTTTCCGTATTCATTGTGATTTAATTTATAAAAAGTTACTAAGTACTTTGTTGCAAGCAAATTTATTTTGCAATAAAAATGAAAGATCTTCATTACATGAAAATAATTTTTAGAGGGCAATGTAGTGTGTTTCTTTCAAGGGCATGTAGATAGTAACTGCCAGCTTTTATCTTCTTGGTAATAATATGCATATAAAGTAGATGTGTACTTTTTAACAATTCTTTTTATCATATTTTTTATTGAAACATTAATTGTACATCTCTATCATACCAAAATTTAAATAAATATGTCTTGTAAGTTAAAATCATTGGGCAAACAAATGTGAAAATAAATAAATAATTCTTAAAGAAGCTCTGTACTTAATTACTTTCAAAACATTTTTGAAAACTTGTTAGCTTTTCTTATCAATAATATTATTTAGTTATATTATTTGGTGTTTTTTATGGCACATGATAATAATTTATTCCAGATTTAACTCACCATCCATGCACCTCGCAGTATTAAAAAGTTTGACATTAACATAATGGCGTTAATAGTTATCATAAACACATAGTTAAACTTTTCATCTGAAACAAAGAAAATACAGAATTTTTAAATCAGTGAATTTTAACTGGCAATATACTTCATGATTCTCTTTGGGTTATAATAAAGCACATAATTCCCAATTAGACCTATATTTTCATTAGCATGTTTGAATGTGCTGATGTGATTTCAAAACCTTGAAGTTATTTTAGAAATTCCTGCTTTTACAATTAGAAAATGAATTCATGAAATAATTTCATTATTATGAAATAGTTAACTGCCCTATTGAAAAGTTAGTATGATTTATTCACAATTTTACAAACATACAAAACCAATAACAATTAATGAAAAATTAACAGGGTGTGAATTGATCATTTTCACTGGGGTGGGGAATATGAGTGAGTGAAATGTATACCAGTTTTGCAAAACTGAAGTACTGAACTAAGTCTGAATAAATTCTAAGAGGCAAGGAAAAATCAATGCTCTTTTAATAGGGGACATCAGTCTTTCTAAGGGGCCGAATTTTGGCATCCATTCTGTCAATTCTGAAAACAAATGTTTCTGTATTTCTTTCAATTTCATGTTATGTCGATTTTGTAGGAACATTTCATAAATACAACTCGGTAATTTATTATTCCTGAGTAATTGTTACCTAACAAATCAGACTGCATTTATTGATTGGCATTTTTATTTTTTTAATACTAAATGTATTTATTCGACCTTAAATACATGATGTGCCAGAGTTACATGTGACACATCCAAACAGACATTTTGATGTTTAGTAGAAAATTGCATGAATCACTTTGCCAGCTGCACCAACCTTAACCGCCTCTAGATGAGAAGTAATAGATCTTAATTCTGATTCTACAGCTCAAAAGACCTCTAAACACGGATTTTATAACTAAAAGCTCAAGATTGTATGGATGAGGAGATTCCTATAATTTTCCTCATTATAGTGCTGTAGTATAAGGACAAAGAGTTTAAAAAAAAGTTAAAAAATTTGTGATGTTTGGAATTATTTCTCTACAGCAAGATCACAGCCCCTCTCTAACTATAATATAAGTTATTTTATTTCAATTAATAACAAAAACTACAATGTTTAAGCTAGAAAAATTGTTGGGAAATATATTTTAAATAATAGTTCTAAGTAACAGTAGTCAGTGATCAAATAATACAATTTGTTAACAGTAGTCAGTGATCAAATAATACAACAAACAAATTTGTTATGTTTAATTAGCGTTTAGTAAAATCACTTGTTAAATACATGAAATAATAATCATGAATTTCAGTAGAACCTATTTTAATGTTAGCTTTCATTTGATTACATACATTTTTCCATCTTTTTGTAGTTACATACTTATAGCAAACGTAATTTGGCAAAATTATTTGTAAAATTTTCATAATTGTCTGACATTTTTCATTTCATAGAGCCTTACATTTTAAGAAATATCTTTAATTAACTTTTTAAGGTAATAAATTAATTGAAAATTTTGTGAAATATCAGACTATGGTATCACAACATAAAATTACAATAACGGTTTTCTGGAATTCTAATTTCTTTTTCAATTTTTTTCCCATCATTGAGCTATTTGACTTGCCAGGTCCTGGTTAATTGCCTTGATTGCCCGTGTTTAACGCTGGCACTGAAGAAAGATTATTTGATGGTACTGCTGATGAAATAAATTCCTCTTTATCATCTCACAAAACTCAACTTATGCAGATTGAGAAAGTACACTTACAAGATTTTGTTTAGATGGTGCGAAAACCTCAATTATGGAATCTATTTTCAAAACTTACATGCTGATATTAAGTCACCAATATCAAAATCACATAAAATAGAAATATAAAAACAAAACTAATCTAATTGTATTACATAAACATTAGAAATGGTTTCAGACAATATTTCTTACTTGAGTAATAGTAGTCAAGTTGCTTGTCGATTAGTAAGACAACGCATATTGTTATGGACAGGACGTTTGTTATCTGTAAACAAATTAAATAATTAATTGATAAAAATAGACATCTACATTAACAGTGTACAAGAGAATTGGCCAGTAAAAAAAAATTGTAACATGTTTTACAAGTAAACATTTTATGAAGTTTTTAAAAAATAGTAAGCCTATATACAGTAAGACATTTTTTCTTTGGCTAAAAAGTAAAAGGCTCAAGATGTTCTCCTGCAAAATGTCATCATATTTCATAGCACTGACAAAATAAAAATAGAAAGCTCAACAGGTAAATTTTAGATTTGATAGTACCATACTTTTGATGGTTGTTTAATAATACATTTCAATTCTGACAATACATGCAATAAACGTTACAGTTTGCATAGGAAATTGTATATCAAGATTTTCTTAAGTCTAACAGCAAAAACACTGGTAAAGTGATAAATTATTTAAACTGTTGAACAATAATTAAGACATTTTTAATTTGAAGGTGTCTGAGTGAAAAAAAATTATCTCTATATTCCAAATGATTTCAATAACATACAAGAAATGGGAATCAAAATTGACACACCAGATTCGGATTTTTATTCGTAATCCGGATGTTTAGAGAGCTGGCTTAAAAATCCATTTTGTTATTCCACAGTAAAAGAAATTGTACTGGAAACAAAAAAACACCCGATGTGTTAAATTCAAAGCCAGCATTTCCGCTGTCTCTGAAGTGACTGACCGGGAGGTCTTAAGAATTTCACTACCGACCGTGGCAGAATTTTCGACACTAGCTAGACAGCTGGGTCGAATTCAGCCGTTGTCAGGAGAATTCTAGTGCCTGGCTGCTCTGAGGCCGGCAGTTTTGCTTGGTTTATCCGATCAACCCCAGGAAATGCTAGAGTAGTTCCCTAACAAACGGGTCACGGACCACGCGCTATCTATCCTTCCTTTTTCATCGTCCTATCCGCTTCTCTTACACACACTTACCCTTACACGCATTGCACTACCACACTTGACGGGAGACCAGAAAGTAGAAAAGAGATTGCTTCGACAGAGGCTAGAAGAGATACCTGCAGGGGAAATTCATTGCCAGCCGACGCGCTGGATGGCGCAGAATGTCACCGGAAAAGGAACACCGCCACCTCCCGCTATAAAACATCCCCTCCACCAACGAAACCAATGGCCATAGCTGGCGACTTGCCAGGAAACATTAATAAAAAATATCTACTTTACAATTCGAAGGGATGGATATTGTAAGCGCCAGTGTATTTAGATGTGTATGGGTGTATATTGAGCACTAATACTGCACTTCCTTTACGGTATAAAAAATATTTTTATTCATAAATTTGCCTACCCCTTGCCTACCTCTATTTCTCTCTTTAATTTCTACTGAAACTTTTTGTATTAGAAATGCGTGTATTATACAGCACGAGAACATTTATAATATGAGTCGATAAAGCCTACTCTATAGGCATTTAGGATGTATATTATTTGTAAGGTTTCTCGAAAATATTCTAATTTTAAATTATCTCCCAAAATAATAACATTGACTTCTTTTCATGGCATTCGTAATTACTCGTGTTCGTTACAAACATTATGGTTAATATTTGAAAACTGCATCTATAAAAAGTAATGGAGCATATTAACAAAATGCTTGACAGCTAGGACGAATTCAGCCGCTGTCTGGAGAATAATTCTGGCGGACGGCTGCTCTCTGATCGGTAGTTTTCCGTGATTTCTTCGATCAATACAAATCGAATACCCTACCAAACGGGCCACGGACAGCGCGCGATCTTTCCTTCCCTTTCATTGTACTATCCAAACCGTTACTTAAACACACACTTACACGCACTACATTACCACATTTGCCGGGAGACCGGTCTAGAGCATAGAGCTTGTCCCACCGGTGGGCGATACCTGGTCGGTGACCCGGTAAGTCGATGGTAGGTCGGCGCCGGACCTCGCCATGCTTCAGGGGAACCGTCCAAGCAAAAAACATGCACTGCACTTACGGGGGGGCTAATGATCTCAACAGTTAACGCGCCCGGAATCACTAACCAAACAATAGAATTATCTAAACTCATTTTGATGTATTAATTTTTAAAACTTTTACAGTAATTGTGTAACCTGTATATATGACACGTCTACGGCGCAACCCCGGGTTCGATTTTCAGCCGAGGCAAACATTATAACTGTGCGCTTTCCTTACAAATATCCCAGTATCTATAGTTGTGTGACGATGAGAAAGCTCACCCTAAGGTTAAGAAGACCAGTAAATACAGTGGAGGGATGTCTTCGTGCTAACCACACGAACCCCCCTTATCCCATGGCCGAGAGGCTGGGCCACCGCTGGTCGGCCATGGCCCGTATCGGGTTGTTGAGCCCAGAACAGGACAGGACGGGCATATCACGCGAATGAACGGTGATAAACTGATGAAGATAGCCCGGGGATATGATACCAATAGGAAAGGGATATGCTGGAAGGCCGCAGAAAAGGAGAGATTTGCAGTCAACATGTAGTGAATGCCCGGGATGAAGCGTGGAGAAAAACAAGTGTACATCGTACATAGAAGAATTAGAAGAAGACGAGGAAGAATTAGAAGACGAAGAAGAAGAGTAAACTCCGTCCATACGTCAGTTATTCACGGTTAGACCCCTTTGGCCTAACAATCGAAACAAATACGAGTAAGGTGTCATTTGGGGTGTCTCGGTCTCCTAGTGGGGAACTGAAATTTTTTTTTCGGATCCAGCTACAAGTTTCTAAGAAATTTCTCTAAATATTTTTTTCTTCTTTAAAGGAATTAAAATTAGGAATTAAGAGAGATAATGTCTGGCTGATGTCCCTTGAAAACGTCTTTTGAATAAGGAAATGCCGTATCTTAAAATTCGATCGTATACGAAACGAAGACATCCGACAAAGGATAGATGTCCATCATAAACACGGCCGAAGCCAAGCGATTGAGTTGGTATGTGATAAGGAGATAATAGGTCTACGAGAAGGAGATTGGGTAAACTGAAAATATAGGGGATACGTTAGACTGTTCTGAGTGACACGGCACCTGTACAGGTGACGAAAAAGTCGTTCAGTACCTCTCGACAAGTCACATCGATTGGCATAATTTTTAACCGGTTCCCTCTAGTCTAGAATATTCTGGAAGAACTCTAGAAAAAAAAACACGAGTTTATATGGTTTCAATGTAACTTCGAGAATATTGGAGAAACGCTGTGAATTACTGAATTTTCTTTCAGGCATTTGCATGATTTGTTACGACGTGATTCATCAGATTGACGACAATTAAACGTATTTTTGTAATGAAACAGAAATGTAAACAAGTATTTTAATCGATACACTTTTACTACATATAATTGTCGCCATCCCGTCACCTTCTTGGACGCAAATACGCTCGGAGAAGCTCGCCATAAACCAAAAGGCCACGGTTCGAGTCCCGGTCGGGTCAACCAATTCTTTGAACAAATTTAATTATACATTTTTATGTAACTTTCTACGCCCAAATATGAACGCTTCAGAAAAATGTATTATGATTAAAAATTATTTGTGTTGTGAATTTGTAAAGCACAAATCAAGCCGTTTAATTAGAAAATTCCCGCCGATTAATTTTAATAATTATTAATTTATAATAATTAATAATTTCATTTAATTACTTTTAAGAATTAATATTCATGAATACATTTTAACTTATAGTCTTATATGCAATAAAAGTAACGTTGACGACTGTTAATTAAAATCGAACGTAAAAGTAAGCGCTTCATACAAACAGAAATATTTCGGTCAGATCTTTTGCCCAGTTCGTTTATTCACTGCGCAATAGAGACGGCCCCTTGTTTTGCTTCTGGACATAAACGTACCTTCACTATCTGCACGGATTTTCTTGACCTCTGTGAGGAGATAGCGGGGAATATCAGGGGTGCCCAGAGTAGTGGCGTAACGTTGGTGCCCGCAAAGCAGGCAGGCCCGAGTAAAAGAGGGCCTAATTTTAGGAGATATTTTTTAAAGTTACTGATAATACTTGTGTTTGCACTATTGTGAAGGGGGTCCGGATAAAAATCATTTCGTTACGCTACTGGTCCAGAGAAATCAGTTACGGCTCATTGAACATATGCAAACATAAACATAAGCATGGCGCTAACATAAAAGTTAGGACTACGTCCATAAGCGGACTCATTCACAATGCGCTCGCATAAGCATAACACCTACGACGTTAACTTAAAAGCTTGCAAGCTTCTGTGCTTATGCTTAAGTAAGACAAGAAATGAACCAATCACAGAACTGTAACTCAAAATCGAGAATCGAAATTGGAGAGAAGTCGATAGAAGAACTAACGCCATATTATGTCTATGCGCTATGCTTATGTTTACGTTTGTATGGTACCTTATATACACATATGATCTGCCAACAAATGAAAGTACTACCACTGCAACTTTTGCGGACGATAC